ACAACAGATCATTTTTAGGTCCCTGGAGATAGAAAGGAGTTTTAGTATTTTTAAGCACATACATCAATTATTTCCCCTCCCCACCCCGCCCCAAAAAATAACTTTTTTTTTTCCTTAGGAGGTGGCTATTACTGAATAGCAATGGCACAATGATTTTAAGCCACAATGGTCCTCACTGGCTGTACATCATACAAGTCCAGTTTATCACTGAAACTGTTCAACATGGAGCTGTTTCGATTGTGTTTATAAATTAAGCTTTGTTTACTGAAGCAGATACTCGATATATATTACGTTTTAAAAAGAAATGTGTGTACATTTTTTAAAAGAACGATGTAAAAATTGTCCTTTCATTAGATGACCGATTCAAAAGTGTGAGCTAAACCCTAATAGCTGATGTAATATGAGGATTATAATTGATGCTTTTTTTTTAATGCTCAGTTCAGCTTGGCTTTTGGTCTTTTAAGATGGAAAAATGAATATGCAGTAGAGTGTTAGATAATGGAAACTTTTAAGTATGGTTTCTCTGTTGTACCATATTAAGTTAAAGTACACATTCTTTGTTAAAAATGTTCTTGCTAAAAATACAGTATTAAAAAGTTTTTTGTTTGACTTTGGAAATCTTTTAAGATTTTTTTTGGACTGTGAATTCCCATAGTAACTGTACTAATGCAAACCAGTATTTTGCACTATTAAAAATACTTGAAGAAATGACTTAATAAAGAGGGTGGGTTGGTATTAAACATTTTCCTAATTATTGTATGCTCCAGATTCTGAACTTTGAAAAGTGAAAACAGCTGAAAGTTTCCCTTCTCAAAACATGGGGCTGAAGGCTGGTTTGAGTCAGGTGGAATTTAGTGATCACCTGTTCTCTCTTTATTTTAATTCCCGGGTCAAAGGCACAGTGCTTATTTCCTTACCAGCTCCTGTTTATGTACACATGTTTACACACACATGCCCTGAATATAAATCACTGTCACTTAAAAACAAAAAAGACCTTTAAATAGATCTACAGGGAATATATTCCCTATTATTATGTTTTCTTCTGGCTACATCTACATGGACAGTGTTCACAATTTCTTTCATTTTTAGCATTGCATTTTTTTTCTCATTAGCAGACTCTTGTAAACAGACTCTGCAGAATAAAATCACCTGATTTTTTTTTTTGTTTCTAAAATAAATCTTTTAGCTTAACCAGTGTCAGTTCAAGAAAAGGTGTTGCCCTCTGTTCTACACATGATCAAGTGACTTAATCAGAATATTCTTCCAATGTACAAATTGGGTTTGTTCCATATTCTTTTTATAACAGCTGTTCTAATAACTGCATTAATCATGCTGCCATTGATCAAACCATCAAAAGTTGAATGATACAAAGAAACAGGAGCATTAGGAATTGTGATTCTTTATAAACACTCATGTGTGAATAAAACATTGCGACACCAGAACTTAAATTGTACCTTTAGGTATAATATTAATTTTAGTTTCAATTCCACTGGGATTTACTTAAGTGAGGTCTGAACTTTATTCTAAATCTTATTTTTCAGAAGGAGTTGAAACAGCCCTTGGAGTGCTGCAGCATTTCTTACTGACCCAGTGCTGGCAGTGCTCCTGTGAAGTGCAGATTTTGAAGAGAGATCTTTGCTCAGTTTTCCAGTATCGTGTAGTTTAGAAAGACTCCATATAACTAAATAACTCAGTCTTTAAAATACCAACGTTTTTGCACTTTCCTTTCATCTCCATATAGGCTTTTTGAACATTTTTCCCCTCACTGGCTGATGTACACATTCCTTAAGGCATCACTGAGCCTAGGTTGATGAGCACAGGTTGATTCCTGATCTGCCATCCCAGATTGGCTTTAAATGTCAAAATTCTCACAAATGAAGTTTAGGAGACTGATAAACTGGAGAGCTTACTCAGAGTTTACTCTGTTTTCAGTCCTCACTGGGTGGTTCCTGGTAAGTATTGACAAGGCAGGAGGCTGAGGGGTTTGGGTGTCAGCTCAGCCTAATGTGTGGGAGGAAGGTGTTAAAGAAAGGCTCAGCCTTCCTCCCCACATTCCTCCTCACTGGAACAGCCCCAGCTGGCTCCCAGGGAGGGACAGCGCTCTCGGGGTTGGGATTTAGGGTGGTTTTTGTCAGGGTGTTTGTGGGAACTCAAAAATGTCCCTCTGACATTTTTGAATGTTCCGGGTCCAGGTCAGAAGCATTTGAGACCCTGGCAGGCAGCTGCAAACAGCTGTGATTTTGGATTTGAACCATGGAATGATTTACCAACCTTGCAGGAAGAACAAGAA